ATTTGAAAAATCACCCAAAACATTCCTAGTATTTGGTACGTAAAGTTTACATTCTAAAAAACGTATATTTTTTCTGAATCTAAACCAAAACAATTGTAATTGCTATGGTTTTTAAGGCAAATGAGTACTTTTTTATTCATTTTTGAGAAACTTTTATTTCTGTTTTTTTCAGAATTTTCTTAGTATCATACAATACTGTGAATAAACATTGACATACCAAATAAGTTCAGTTTTTCTGAATTTTAAAGTTAAAAATTATCATAAAAAAAGAAAGGTTTCTCAGAAATGAATTTGCCTGAAAAACATAACAATGACTTTTTTATGGTTAAAATTCAGAAAAAATTTACTTTTTTGGTACGTCAACTTTTGATTACAGTAGTTTTCGATGTTTTAGTATAATAATTGTTTTATAACTGCAAGCGCTGCCGCTCAACAACAGCAGAATCCCTCAGATACACCCAGACCATGCTGGTTGTTAGGCCTCCACTATCATCCAAACACTTTGCTTTTCAACTCATTTCGTTTCTACACTCTACTTGTTTTGATTTGGTTTCTTTAGTAATTTTTTTGAGAGTACAAACATGCTTCATACAATTATTCACGTTTAATCATAAGAAAAGGTTATTATTAACATTTAACCATCTATTTATCATCGTTTTTTTCAGTCAACAGCCTTCCAAAGATTAAATTTAAAGGAAAACTACCAAATTATGTGAGACTAAAGGACGATGATGAAATGTACAGCTGCATTAGTCAATGAATAAAAACAAGACATAAGAAATTTGGCATTGAAGTTCTATCTGCGGTGATGTCGTCACGTAAAAAGGAGGAACAAATAGACCACAGCTAATCTACAGTGAGTTTGTTGCATCAGGTTTCCAGGCATATCATCAGTGTGAAATGATGATAATGTTATCAGTGGGAGATTATCCAACACTGTGTTACAATGCAAACATCCAGGACGGCTGTTGTAAACAGTCGTACTCAGCACTGATACCAACAGTGATCCAACAGTATGAAGATGACCACAACTGAGAAGGAGTTTTTAGTCTTTATTAAGATACTTAGCTCTCACATGTGCTTGTTTTATTTAAATTGTGTTTAAAGTAACCACATCCCCAGGATTACCAACATTTATAAAAGGCTATTTTATAGCATAAATTTTGTAGGACGTCATTGTCTCATGTCCTAGTTAAAAAAATATTGCAATACAGTCTCTCCGTATTTTTCATTCTTAGCAGCCAGGCTTGGATAGTTTGCTGTGGGGTACACATACGTACACTGACCCTGACCTGGCCTGTGGGCCACTTCTACCTTTACCTTGACTTGCTTAACAAAACTAATAAACTTTAAAATGTTAAAATTGTATTTATACAGTATTTGAACTCAACATGTCATTAAATACATGATTCATGTGATTAGATGTGTAGTGTGAGTAAAATGTGTGAGAGAGAGGAAGAGAAAGTGAAAGTGAGAGAGAGAGAGAGGTTAAAAGATACAGAGTACTGACTAAATCCAACCAACTCTGAAAAGATACATTTTGAGTTATTCATTAAATCATCATCTACTGCATAATCTGGGGGAGTGGTGTGGGGAGGCGTGCAGAGTCATATTTAGGAATGGTAAATTATCTAGATTAATCCAGAGCTACACTGTGACTAATTAAATTAAAATGTTCAATCAATGACCACTGTTATATTTATAAATGTGCAACTGCTCTTCCTGTAAAGACCTGCAGGGGGCCTAGAGCAAACCTTGGCTGAAACAGTTTAAATTCAAGGGAAGGAAGTAAACAATGGATTTGGAATAGACTGCTTTAAGGTGAGAAGTATTTGTCACCATCAGATAGTGAATGTGAAGTTTTGTACCTTACTGACGTATACACAAAGTACAGTAGAGGCAAAAAAAAACAACGTGCTGTGGGCCACATATCTGCTGGTTTAAACACCTGTTAATGTTGACTTTCCAACCAAATCCCCATTAATAACAGAATACCTTTCAGAGCCAGAGCTTGAATGGTGTCTGTGATGCACTGACTTGTTGGATAACAGCAGTTTTATCTTGATTCTTCTTCTTGTTGTTTTGCTGATGCTGTGCTCGGCTTGTCTGCAGTCTCACCTCCTTCATCGTCCTTCGTTTTCCCCCCCGGACTGTCACACCAGTTTTTCCCCTGCTTTACCAATGCATCCAGATCTTCCTGCAGAGAGACACACACAATCATACGTTTATTAACATCAAAAGTTTAAAATGTGGGCTCTGTATTGTTAGGTTAGGTTATTGTTAGTTTTCTGACTAACCCTAACCTCATGAACTACTTGGTGACGCTGTGTGTAATACAATATACATTTTGGAAATTGTCTTAAAGGTAAAGTTCAATTCTGTTAAACTGGATGTGTTTTACGGCATATTATATTTGGTTTTATTCTTCATTTAGCAAAGTCAAATTTCTGAACAGAGGACACTGGTTTTGATCCACTTCACCTACTGTTCATGTAAAAGAAGACATGCAGGGAAACAAACATCAACCAACTGGCCACAGCTCACAGTTTAATGATGATGACCTTCGACCTGTCCTGAGAGTTTCCCCACCCACAGTATATGGTCAAAAAAACAGCAGACGATAGGAGAGAAAAATATCCAGAATAATAAAGAAGGAATTGTATTCCAGAAAGTAATTGTATTGCCTTTTTGTATAATGAGACTGTTAGAAAGAATGTGAACAGAGTTCACTGTAATAGTCAAAGCTAACCTTCCAACCAAGCAGATCAGCCAAAGCCAAACAGCCGTCATCACAAGTGCTGATGTGAGCCACGTCTCTACAAGACACAAAAAGAATGTTAGGACTCCTTGGTAGTGCAGTTGTCCTACAGCCACAGGGTTGTGGGAGTGATTCCGGACAAGTTAGTTTGTTTATAAATCAGACTTGTACGCAGTACACTGTATATCATCCAAGAATAATGCTTATTAAAGGGAGAGTGAAAGGACAACTATTGTGAAATTTATCGAGTGAACTTTTTGTGTGAACATTTGTTGATCGTAGTGTTTGACTGCAACTCAATAAAACCTGCACCTGTAGGCCTTGTCTGAGTCAAAGTCCATTCCACTTCCAAAACCAAGCAGCCCCAGGAGTGGATCGGCCTGTGAAGAGCAACACAAACCCTGATTTTCATGGAATTCAATAAACACATGCTAGAGAGAAAAAAAAACATCTGGTGCACACTTACCTGTCCTGCCTTTTCCATGTTAATAAGCAATCTGGGGCAACTCTTTGAAACCCTGGAAAATTAATTAGGTCACTTAGCTCAATGGGAAACATATTATGCTGCTTTTACAGTTAATTCCTGTCTACAGGGGGCTGAGCAGACAGCAGTTTTGTTGTTGTTTTTGTTCTTTCTCTGTAGTTTGTTTAACTTTGTTGTTCGAACTGTGTTGTGACGCTATATACACATACACACCTGTGTTTCAATAACTGACAGGTGGACACTACTGTGAACAAATGTCTTTTCTCTTTTTGGACATTACCATTACAGGTGACAACGTTTGTGTTCGTATAGCGATGTGCCTGTACATTCAAAGCAGATGAGGGCAGGAGTGGTCACATGGGTGAAGCTACCCAGCTTAGGGGACCGCTGTCTTACAACTGGAGGGTTGTGGGTTTGATTCCAGACTAGGTAGGTTAAATGACAAAGCACTTTGAGTGAACATAAGGAGTATAAAGTAAATCTTGCACCATATGTACCCTTCTAGAACAAACATCTGTAGTTCAGCGGATAAACACGGTCATACCTGCCAACAAGACCTGCAAATGGTTGGACCTGTAGAGAGGTCCCCATGATGATGAGGAGGTCGCAGCTGGGAAAGTCCTTGGATGCAAATAAAAATAAAGATATTAAATCAATCCCCATTCGTAAACATGGATGCATTCTTTATTAAAAACAATGTGCTCACCATCTTCATTGAGGTGAAGAACCGGGCAGGTAGATTCTCACCAAAGAAAACTATATCTGTGTTTGGACAGAATCACATGATATGAAGACCAAGTTATTCCTGGGTTAGAGTTAGAAAGTAAGAAATGAAGAAATTATTTTGTGATTAAATGGTGTGTGTGTTTTAATCAGCTGACCTGGTTTGACCAAACTGCTGCACTCATCGCAACTGGGAATTCTATCGGAAAGGATCTTATCTTAAATACAGAAAGAAGTATTTCAAATAGAACGGAATTCACAATAGAAATATTTCACAAAAATCTCCATGATTTCTGACGTGTCAAAAAAACAAAAACAAACAGTTGCCAGTCACCTTTCATCCAATCTAAGTTGTACTCCTTGTGGCAAGAGTAACTGACACAGTGGGAACTATAGAAGGTCCCATGGGCTTCGATTAGATCATCTCCTTCTAGTCCAGCCACACGTTCCAGGGTGTCAATATTCTTAGAGAAACATCACACATAATTAACAAATGAACTTTGAACTAAAAATGGTTACACTACCTTTTTTTACCTGAGTGTAGCAGCGTTTCAGAAGCCCCTTGTCCTTCAATAGTTTCATGAAGTAATGACAAACAGTTGGCTAAAAACCAATACATGTAAAACAGAAAAAAGAAAAACATGTTTTGTAAACTGTCACAAAAAAAATTCAACGATTAAACAGCAGCTAATATGAAGAAGAGTTGGTTTTGTGCACCTTAAACTGTCCAGGGTAAAGCTCCTTGGCCAGAGCAAAGAATGGCTCTGGGTGTTTCTTAAATATAAGAAAATAAATAAATGAATACATAAAAGACAGAGAAAAAAATCAAAACATGTTAACACAGCCAAAGGAGAGTCATGAAGTTCTTATGTTCATAAATGCGGAACCTTAAAGTAATCTATCTGGAAGATGGCCTCTGGGTAGGGTAGGTTATATTTCTTCAAATTTGCATAAAGGCCTGTCCCTGGTGAACGGAAATCTGGGATTCCTGCCGCTGTATGTAGAAATAAAAAAAGCATATTGTACTAATATGTAAAAAATATGTATCAGCTCTATGTTGATGTTCACTTTAGCTAATGACACTGGACACTCACACGTGGATATACCAGCTCCAACCATGCAGATTATGTTTTTACCTGTGTCAAAGGAAAGATTTAGAAATGAATAATAATTCCACTGTGGATCAGCTCGACATACGCACAAATACTCACATTTGTCGCTCTTGATATATCGAGCCACTCCCTCCAGACTGAGCTCATCCAGAACTTTGTCTGCTGAGCCAAGGCCAAGAGTGCGGGAGAAGAGGTTACGCAGGACGTCCACTGGGAGAAATAAAGACAGGAGTCAGAGCAGTGTAAAGGACAGAAATGGGAGTTATTAAAGATGTTCTTGTGAGTGAGGTGTAAATAAGACAGTAATACCCTATACTAATGGTGCAGAAAGGCACTACTGCTAATACTACTGCTACTGGAGGCAGGGCTGCCAACTGTCACATGTTGGCCAGGACGTCCCATATTCAGATCATAATACTTTTGTCCCATACGAGACAGCATATGTCCTGTTAGGTATCAAGAGGGCAGTTTTAGGCTTATTGTCCAAACACATTTATTACAAGCAATTATGGGCAAGTAGAGTTGTACAGCCTCACAGTTTGAACTCATTGTTGTGAAACTGTCATCCTGTGATTGGCATCCACACCTAGGTCAGTAGTGTTTGTCATAAAGTATATAGCATTCATGCAATTTTAAAAGATGAATGCAGAATATTTAGGTGTTTATTTTGAGTGACTGCCAAGATCCCATATGTTGTTTAAGTGCAATCAACATGATGAGCTTTAAGAATGGCACCATGTACATAGGATGGTACTTAAGACAGTAATTAACAAGGCTATCAAAGTGACTGGAAATAGGTCTGTGGGCATTCATTCATCCTATTAGTACATGTATTGTCAACAGTGAAAAAGAAAAACACATACTGTCTACTTCTTCTTCTTCTTCTTCAGGACTGCTCTTGGTTTCTTCCTACAAATGAAACAACTATTGAAATAATAATAATTTGAACTTAACTATATTCGCTATGCTGATATTTCCCAAACACTTAATTACCAATTCCAATATCAATGCCAACAATCGTCTAATTTTCAGCACAAAACTGTGTTTTGTGACATTTGAGCAAAAGACAAAAGGGAAAATTTCCTGCAGTTTAAAACAGGACCATATAGTAACATAATAATTGACAGGATGATTTATTTTTCCTATCCTGCCCATTCCCCCTTCAACTATCAGCAGGTAACGTCAATGGACATCATCAACCTGACAAGGATGTAAGCTGCCTTCTAGATGGAATAAAACAACTGCTACACTAAAAGGGCACTCAATATGAACAGTAATTTCAATATTAATTTAGTAATTTAAATATGTTATAAATTGAACTGCCAAAAAGGGAATTTGGTCCCCCAGTCGACTGTAGAAAGGCATTTAGTTTAATATAAGTAAGTAAACTTCTCAGTTATTGTGGTGTATCAAATAAAAAACTCGAGGGAATACAAAGCCGACGGTTCTATGCATGGACGTGTCATTCTACAGCCTAACTGAGGTCTCTTTTACCAATATGGTGAATAGAAAGAATGTTTTAAGCAACTGGGAATTGTACGTAGCAGTGCCACAATTAGCCGCTGGAAGACATGCTGCAATGCAGAGCCTCAAAGCCGTATCCCGTTCCTGCGGTTTAAACCGGTAGTGCGTGTGTACATACCTTAGCCTTTAGCATAAAGTAAGCTACAGTCAAAGAGTCCGATGTTTTTCATACCTCTGGTTCAGATGTAAATTCCTTATCTTCACTGCATTCCGGGTGTTCTGTGAACACAACATTACATATCAAATACTTGTACTCCCTGCACTCGATAATTTTACAGTTTAAGCGAAGTGCTAGCCAGACCAACTGGAACTATCTAAATTATTTGAAATCAGCTTGGCGACCAAAAAATGTAAACCCGTTTCACCTGATGCATCGGCCATTTATCCGTCCACAGGAACACAACACTCAGATTATCTCTAATGTTTCTGGCTACAGTCCGACGGCAAGCTTCCGGTTAGTCTGTCGTCGTTGTTGTTGTCCGCCCTAAACATTGCCGTGTTGGAGACAGCGCAGGAAGGTTCCTACCATGAAATGGTTCCTCCTCATTCACCATCCGCTCTTATATCGGTTTTATATACATATATTTTGTTACCAAATTAAGATTATCTGTTCAGAGTTTGATGTTTAAAATTATATCTCTCTAAAGAGCTTTTGACAAATATTTAAAATATATTTTCCACTTTGTTTACTACAGAAACTTGTTTGTGCTGAATAAACTAACATCTGTATATGTGACAGTCAAAATGATTTTAGTAAGTAAATCCAGAAATGACCATGGTTTCAATTATTATTAAAATTGTTAAGAACAGAAAGTTGTATCTTGAAAAGAAATGTGGAGCAAAGATTGCTCCATATGCCACATAAATATGCGGCGGACTTCATTTCAATACTACAAAATTCTTCTAATTTGGCCAATACTATGGTACAGTTTGTACTACCCTTGTTTGCACAGATGCACTGTGCAAAAGTACTTTATGGTTTCTCCCAGATTCCGACTAAAGAGGAGTAATGAGGACTGGTCCCAGAACTGGCCCTTGGAATATGTTATGTGGGCTGTGGCCTAGGGCACATTGGTGTGGTGTGAGATATCATCAGGCTACTGTGGAAAATTAGAAGAAAAATCACCTATATTGTCATTGTACATAAACAGACGTATAGACAATACAATTGATCTTTTGCATTTAACTCACCAACCCATTACTGGGACACGAAGGAATTGTTGCTTGATTCAAGAATTACAAACACAATCCAACTATTTGGCCTGAAAAGTGATCATTATGTGGCTGCAGGTGGTTAATTATTCTGTAATTGCTTGTTGCCAAACCATATTGTTCAACGAGCTAAAAGAGCCTTCCTCTCCAATTATTAGCTGTACCAGTGAGAGAGGGTGAGTATTTTTTGAAACAGAAATGAATTATTTTTAAGGGTACGGCTTTATTTCCATGATGTATGGTTACTTCCTTAACCCCCATCAATATACAGTATTTACATCTCACTTTGTTTATGCTGCCGTGTCTGCAAAACAATTATACAATTTCAATTCCTTTTGTTATCATACTGTTGATGCCTCTGTTAATGTCCCACACCTGTTGTCAGTCTTTCCTTGCTCTTTTATCTCCTTTTCATCCTCCACTGTGTCCTGGAACATACTGAGGTCATAGCCAGTGGCAACGATGTGGCACTGGGGTAACATTTCTTCCAACAAGATGACAACTAAACCAGGACTAGAAATCCTGGGAAGGGAAGAAATGTCCAGATACCGGAGTCCCCTGCAGCACACAAAAGAGGGAATGCTAGTAAGCAGAAAGAAGAGGGAGAAAATCCAGATGTAATGTGACCAGCTGGAACTGATAAGGTATTGATGGTATTTTAGACTCTGCAAATATAAATAAAAATATAAGTATTTCAAAGGGGTCACCAACATAGTGGCCCTCAGATTGCAATGTCCGACAGGTTGGTTTACAAATATAAAATATCATAACGTTCAACAATCAGTACGAGAAGCAAGTCTGGAAATAACTGGAAGTATTTTGAGTATATGCAGAATTACCTGAGATTTCTTAGTGCAGCCAGGCCTCCCACTGTGATCTGTGGACAGTCAGAGATATTCAGTTCCTCAAGAGAGTTTTGAAATATATGAAGCCTGGCCAGGAACCAGTCATCCACCTGAGAGCAACCTCTTAATGACAGAGTCCTCAGAGACTGTTGACCCTCTTTGGGAAAAGAGAAACAACAAGGTTAGGAGTTTCATGTTCACACTAGGGCATTGACAACTTCCTTTTTTGTTTTTAAATATCAGCAAGCCAATCGCCGGTAAAGAATAGGTTGGGTTGTTTTTTTTTGTCAATGCCCTGCTTCACAGTGTACTTCTGTAAACAGCAATGGAAAAGCAAAAATAAACATGATACCCAGACTCTGTAGTCCTGTGAAGTTGATGAGAGAGTGGCTCAAGTCTACCTCCTCTATGGGTGTGTTTTTGTGATTGAGAAAGTCCCAGGAGAACTTGCCCCTCTTGTCAACACGAAACCAGTCATCCTGACCAACATACCTAAGAAATAAGCAGGAAGAATTGAAGGTTGCAATATTCATGCTGTACATTCATGAAAATTACTATAACCCTAAAGCTTAATATTTAGACTTCATATGGTTAACAGCAGCCAGCAGTAATAGTATAGTTTTGAAAATAATATAAAGAAGCGAAAAAAAAATGAAATCTTAGTTGAGTGTAATTTAGCTTATAAAAACTGATATTTGCAAAAAAGTACAAACTTTAATAGTAAAACTTCAAAATGATAAGATCTTTAAATGGAAGGTATGTAAACTGACCATAGATACTTGGTTTTAGACAAGCAGAGTAATGAAACAATATGCAAAATAATGGGCAATACATAAAAGAAGAGGTGGCAGACCAGGTGACAGGGTTGATGTGTCACAGAAGAAAACCAGAAATGTTGAAAAGGAAGGTCTAAGTGTTTAGGTCTAGTGTTTGGGAATCAATGGTCTAAATGTTAAAAATACATACATTACAAGTTTATAGGTACAGAAAAAAGAGTTACTCACCTAAAACCACCTTTCAGTCTCAACACAAAATGTGCCAATGCAATGTTCATCCCAAGACGTTGACGAGCGTAGCTGTTGTAGCTGACAAAGTGAGAACAGAACGCAAAGGTACTTCAATTAAAGCAAGAAATTGCAAAACAATATAATCCCATAATATAGAATAATATAGCGCCATAACTAATAATGCCTTAATTAATTTGTGATGATTAATTTGATTGAAATTTGAATGCATTTTCATCCATTGGCAGAATGATGTGATGCTACAGCCATTATTTCCACTGCCAAATCACTTATTCTTGCTCTAATACAAGAATAAAATCAGCAAAACATAATAATTTCAACAGACAGCAAGAACTAAAAACCTCATAGAGCAGAGGCTTTGACCTAAGGTCAGACCACCATTACTGAGCACCGAGTTTCTTACCATAAAAACACTTCTACAAGCTACTATTAGAATGCACAGATGACTAAATTCTCCAACTCTTTTCATAATTATTACATATTGTTAGTACAATTACAGTAGTACTTTTTGAATATTTTCTAAACATTTTCCATTTTAATAAATCCATCTTTTTCCATCAACTACCTGCTGTTATTTGTCTTTCCGTTCCACACATGAAGACATCTATCAACACCTATACTGTGATTAAATTGATAAAACAAAAAAGTAAGGCACTGACAGCCCATTACCTATTCTTCCATTGAACAGTCCGCCTCTTAAGCTCCGAATTCAAGCCCATGAGCAGCTCCACATCATAAAAGCGTTGGGTGAGGAAGAGCAGCGCTCTTGTGTGCAGAGGAGGAGACTCTGAGCTGGAGCTCCACAGCCGTGCAGGAGCCCAGAGTGGAGCTGAGTGCTTGCCACATCTGTGCAGAGTCTAAATGTACACAGGATTACTGAATATCCACTGTTACACATGTATGTACTAAATGCTCACTTGTACGAGCTCACGAAAAGTATATTTTATTGTCAATTCAATTTGTCTCTGGTTTAACATTTTGTCAAGCATTTTTAAAAATGGTGGATTTTGACAAATAAAGTATGAAAACATTCAGTCTCTGTTCAGGCTAGAATCACTTAGGGTTCCTAGAAAAACCTTATCTGCCATTTCTGATCCAACTGATCCCGAAACTGACTATTTGAGCAAACAATATTTACATTTTTAAATCGTATTTTAAAATGTGTAGTATTGCCTACACGTCTCTACTCTACTATATTTCATCAACAAGCGATCACAGTTGGCGACATACATCACTCCGTATAAATCTCTAGTAGTCTGTGTTTAAAAGAGCAGCGGTTAGCGTCTTACCCTGTAGAAACGCCAAGGTTGACCCGCCATGAAGTGAGCAGACATTACTGGTTCAACAGCAGGTCGTGAGGGACAAACATCGTGCAGCCGCATCTTATGGCTGATCGTTGCTCACCCCGTTGGTCACTGGAGGGCGCACTTCATTTTTATGAAACGTTCTAAAAAGAACTGTGTTCATGCAGTGCCATATTACGTCAATATTTATCTAAAATATATCTTCTTTTTCTTCTTATATCTTATGTTTTCTTAGAGAAACACGGCGCTAGCCACACCAGCGACAGTTGTTATCTATCCCAGGAGCTATAGGGAACGATACCTAATCAAATTTAAAGGTGCTGGCGAAAGCTAACCGCATAATTGAAACCTCTAACCGTTTCAATTATGGCGTCTGGTTAGGCCAACTGAAGGTCATAAACACTTACGTTAAGTCGTTGTGTAATTACTAAAGAATAATTCAATTCTATACTACACACTGTAGGGGCATGTTTTTTTAAAATGCGTTATTAAGCTATGCTCTGAAGCTGTGATGGCCTATTTGGCTAAATTTCATTTGAGCGATTTAAGCTTTATTCTCTTTGAAAACAGTGCCATCTGGCGTCGTACTGTAATTAAAGCACCCATACAAAAGTAGGACCAAAGCTCTGCATAATAGAATAAAATAAAAATAGAACAGAATACCTTTTAATTTAATTACTAAACACAGCAGTTCAGTGCAACACATATAGATTAGCAGCTTTAGCTTTAACAGCCATAAAACTAGAAAACAAGAAGTGCAGCAGTGTAGCAGCAGACGTTGACAGCAGTAAACCTGGAATAGTAAATAGCATTTGAAATCAAATAAATTTCATAAAATTCCAATACAAATGGTGAATTAAGGTATATATATTTCAAGGGTCGATTTTATTTTCAGTTTAGATGGACTAAAAATAAATGGAAGAACAAAGGATGATGTGCATGAAGTAATGTAAAGTAATGTTTTCTTACAACCTGTGTTTTAGTTTTAGTGTACTGAATTAAATGTGTTTTTCACTTAGCCCTCCTAAAATATTGAAAGATAGAGACGTCAGGAAGAAGAACCTTAAAAATACCCAGGGCTGTGAGAGGAGCTGTGGCTAATAAGACCAGTGATGCCAGTGGTGATCTGAGCACTCAGTGATGTGACCCAAAAACCTTACAGAGTGGCTACAACAGATTCAAGGCATCCACAGTGTTTTTGGAGCATTTGAGGTTCAGACGAACACA